AATGCTTGGGAGGATAAAAATAAACCGCGCAAACTTCTCTCTCTGTTGTTTCTAGAGAAATCATAAAGCTTGACAATTTGGTTTTTACCTTTAGTTATGTAAAAATCGATTTCAGTGGAGTATAAACTCTGGGCCACTTTCACCCGTTGGCGGCATGGATATGCATATGCCTCTCTAAATTTTCTCCTCCTTCTCTGTTTGGGAACATGCTTATTAGAACTAAAAACAGTCATTTTAGTTATGAGAACACAGAGAGTTTTAAAATAGTCCTTGTATTCTGTGGCAGTGACTTGGAGAATCTTAGCGTGCTGTAGATGTTTTAGTCCTGTTGAAGCTGCTGCATAGCAGGGACATCTCTAGATAAGAGGCTGAAATAAATAATGGAAAGATTCAAATCCATGAAGCTTGAGCTATTCAAACATTAAAAGAGGGCTTAACTCTTAGCAAAAATCCACTGACCAAACCCAAGAGAGACGTAACTGGATTACTTCTAAGTAGGAAGGTTTTTCTTGCCACCATAAAGCCTGTATTATAATTACAGTATTTCCATGTGTGTTTCTCAAGGGTTTCTTTCCAACTGTTAGTACAGAGTAGAACTAATGAGCAGTAAATTAAAAAAAAAAAAAGGCAGCTATTAACCCACATCATTTTTGGCTTTTTTAGCTGTGCTGTCTTTGTAGTTAAGAGTGCATTGAAGGTGTAGGTGATTCTTACTGGTTTTTAGCCTTTATCCCTTCTTGAGTTGCTCAGACACAGTACTGTGATTTTTATAAATCGCATATCCTGTTTGGGCTACAGATGTCGTGATATGTATGTGATGAGCAATAGCTGAATTTTTACAATGCACTCCTATTTCACATGTAAATAAGATACTGCTTTTACACTAAGGCTTTCCTTTCATGTAAGTGTAAATTATAATCTAGAGTATCAGTCCATACCTCTTCCCTCTCAAAGCTACATTTTTAATTTCTGTAAAAAGGCAAATGTTCTACTTTTTCTAAAGAATTTTCAAACTCTGTATCATTTCTTTTAAAGATAAACCCAAATTGCCTGAAAACTACACAGATGAAACCTGGCAAAAACTGAAAGAAGCTGTAGAAGCTATCCAGAACAGTACTTCAATTAAGTACAATTTAGAGGAGCTCTATCAGGTAAGTGCTTTAAGTCAGAGCGATGGGTAGAGCTTTTTGATTTGTTGTTGGGCTTTTTTCTTGGCTTGATACAGCAGTAAGAATATGAGATTTTGCTTGGTAGCTGCTTTTGTGATTGAAAAACTTCTCAAATAGTCTCTCAAATTTTAAAATCATCAGTAAAAATTTCACAAGACCTAACATTGAACTCAGAAATTTTTTTTTACTTTCCACAACACAATCCAAGGTATGGTTTCACTTGCAGCAGTTGACAAGAATTAAATAAGGCAAGGAGCTGTATTTCCTCTACTGTTTCAGGGTTTTTGGTGTGTAGCTGCTAAAGGAGAAATATGAAATCCTAAAACATTGGTGTTTAGGTAAGACAAAGGTCATTTATATTAAAACATAATCCTTTTTCTGAAGGCAGCATCTGTTCACGATTGAAGATCATTAATTAGTTAGAAACTGAAACTTTTCATTTTACTTTCTAAAAATAAACAGAAGACCATTTTTCTCCATGAGTTGTGTTGTTTTGATTTGGTTGTAATTTTCTTATCAGTCAGTATTCTGTCTATTCTGACAACTGAGAATCAAATTTTATTCCCCAAATCGCTCATATTGCTTTGCTCTAAATGTTTCAGGAAGTCATCAGACTTGAACCACATTTCCTAACTTTTATTTACAAGCTCCACTTCTGCTTTTTCAGCTTAATGTGTTAGGGAGACTCCCCCCCTCCTCACCTTTTCCCTACTAATATCATGGTACTTGCGGTTTTGGTGGCCTAGCAACAGTCCTGCTTTAGTTAGGCATTAAGAAGCACTTACACTTTTTACTCTACTTTTAAAGCCTGGTTAGTTGTTTTATTTGTTTCCCTCTGTGTATATAGCTTTCTCTCCATCTCTTTTTAGTGTCTCTTCTTCCCATGTCCTCAAAGTTGCATTTGGATACGACAGATTTCTCAGAAAAGCTGGGAAGAAAAATTGTGTTTGCACAAGGTTTGGGGACAGACTTAGGGGAGGATAAATTGCCATTTCTCATGGAACAAAGTTCCTCAGTCCAGTGCGTTTTTAAGCTCATTATAATCTTTTATAATGTTCAGTTAACTTTAACAGTTTGTCAGGATGATGCACAATATTGTTAGTTCTGCAAAACTTGTGAAACTAGTAACAAATTACAACCCATGTATTGGCTGGTATTATAAATTACATTAGATTGAACAACAGAGCAAGTAACTGATAATTAAATACTTGAAGGATGTCCAAAACTGTTTAAAAATACAAAGTTCCACTGAAAGCCTTTCTTCTGCTTCACAATGATCACTTACATTTCTGCTCACTTTTACCAAAGGCAGATGTAATGTTGCTTGTGCTCAAAAAAACCAAAAAAAGTGGTTTTTTCTTTTCAACCTTAATTTTAACACCATAATAACTTCCTTTAAAATGAAATAGGGTGCAAACAAGTATGATTTTCTTTTTTAATAAATCTAAAAATAAATGCCTTGATTTAAAAATAGTAAAAGGAATCACTAGTGTTTTTAAATGCTATCTAAACTAATGTCGTTTCTGAACAGCTGCTTGGTAAATGGATCTGATGCCAAATATGCCTTGGCAGACACCATTATCCAAGCGTAGAGGGGAATTGCAAAAGTTGTGCTGCACACCTTAAAATAAGATGTTAGAGGGGTTTTTTGATGGAATTACAACTTCTTGAGTTTGGTTTAACTCTGCTCTGTGCTGGAAAATCCCATGGGCAAACATTTTGAAGCTTTATTTCTTTGTGGGACCCTACATTCATACTTGGTTTGCTCCTCCTCATCTAGAGAAATGATACACATCTTTGAGTGGTTGAAGTGCTACAGAATTGCAAGCTTCTTTATTAAAATAGTTTTCCCTAAATTAGTACCAGAAAATAGAGATATAGATCTTTGGTACCAGATCCCAAGTTTTTGTTTGGTTTTGTTCATTTCTTTTTTAATCAGTCGCAGAGTTAAATACTTGTGGAATTTCTGCTTTTGCTCTCATCAAAGCTGTGTTCAGTTCTTTTCCCCATCACACAAACCCAGGTGTGGATGCTGCTGTTGGTGGGGATGGAGAGCCAATAAAAAAAGCCAACAACAGAATATATGTTGCCCAAAGTCAGTATGATTCTTTGCCTTCAGATGCTGTGACCATATTCAGGGCACAGATTCCCTCATCAGAAAGCTTTATTCCACTAATTCAGAACAAGATAATTTTGTGAACTGGAGCCCCTAAAGTTCTTGGGAATTTTTGATATATTATGACTATTGTTATGTAACACCAGTAACTAAATTAGGAAATCATAATAGTGTAGTAGTGGTGTTAGGCTCCACAGAGCAAATATTAGGAGAAGATTTTGTATTTGTGTCCTTATAAAGTTTAATCTCTTAAAAAAAAAAAAAAAGTGCCGACTAAACAGAATTCAGAAAATATTTCTATGGGTGTTACCTGTGAAGATGCAGAAGTTTTGCACTTGATGTTCAGACACTCAATACTAGCAGATGTGTGTTTAACACTTGGGAGTTTCTGATACACAAATGCAAAAGCACAGCTTTATATGATTGCTATATACATATAAGTGTATATTAATAGATGTTAACTTACTTCACTAAGAGTTAATGGCATGCGTTTGTCCATCTGCAGTGCAGAGGCTAATCCTTTAAAGGATTTGGAGCAGCATGGGTCAACAGCACTTGCTTTGATAGCAGTTACAAAAACATTGGTAGTTGAGACGGCTGAAGTTTGGCTAAGTGGCCGCTGGTGTCCCAGGCTGGTGGGTAGCAGCGAGACAGCTGTGGTTGTGCAGGTGACCAGCAAGTTCTAAAATATTCATCTTCCCAGCTCTCAGCTGGCTTCTCTAAAGTAAATGGGAGAAAGAAGAAATGCATTTATTGCACTTACTGGGGGTTTAATCAGGCTCTTGAAGTGTAGTGGTTTTATCTCCATTTTCTCCTGAAATCAGAGTAGTCGTCATTTCTGGTTTTGCTGCTGTTGCATTTAGAACCTGGCCCTGTGGGTACAACAGCAGAACAGGGCTGAGCAGTGTCCGTGCCCTGTTCTGAACAGTGAGCTGTAGAATATGTTTTCCTATCACATCATTGTATTTGCTTGGAGTTTCTTAAAGTTTTAAGGCTGAGAGTTGAATTTGTTGCTATTTCCAAATATTAAGATATGTATACTTCAGTGATAACTCTGGCTTTCTTAATTATCATCATTCAGACCTGGTTTAGCCTTAATTGGTACACTCACTTTCTTGCTGTATTTGTTTCTGACAGTAAGCTTATGCAGGTTTGGTTTTCTCTTGTGGTTTCTTTTGTGTGGGTTGGTTTTATTGTGGGGTTTTGGGTTTTGTGGAGGATTTTTTGGTTTGTGTTTGTGTTTTTTGGCTCCTCTCTGTTCTGAAGCCAGCATTATCTGTAGTGCACTTCCTCTGGAAAAGTTGTATACTGTTGATACTGAGAATGATATCCTAGGATAAACTGAGGAACTTCTTGTTTAGTTGTTTTGATTCTTGCTGTGCTTTTAGTGGTGGCTGCTTACTGTTTGCTGGTGGCTCCTATCTGGACTGCTGGTAAATACTCTGGGGGACTTCAGTGTAATGGAGTAGATCTGCTCTGTGTATGTCTGGACTGTTCTGTCCCTGCATGATTGCCTGCAGTTGGTTTCAGTACTTCTATTCCCATGAGTTGTTTGTACTGGCAATTGAGGTATTTTCCATTAAAAAAATAAATAGATAAAATCAAAGGCATTATACCTCTCTCTCCTCTCTAGCTTCTACAGGTGTTTAGCAGAATAATTGCATGTTGGGTCTTTCATCAGTCTGCAAAGAGTTAAAGTTGCTGTCCAAATCCGGGCAATTGGTATTCATTTTGGAAAAGTCTTGAGTTACACTTAGAGATTAAGAATGCTTGTTTGCTTGATCAGTCTCCAAAACAGGTCCCCATTAAACTACTTTTCACTTCTCACTGTGAAGCACAGCAACAATTCTTCTAATACTTATGATCTAGAAATCTGAGCATTGTCACTGTACACATCTGGAATGTAGTAATTCTGAAAATGAGCCTTTCCAAAAATATTTCTTAGTCTAATTAAAAATTGATCAGGATTATAACAAAACTTACTCATGCAAGGGGTTGACGGATGGAGATACATAAAACATAGATGTATATGTATGTACTTTTGGGGATGAGGAAAGCTTAATCGAGGAAAGAACTGCAAAAGGAAATAACACTGGCAGTGCTTTTCTACTAATATCAGTGTGACTTGCAGAGCACAGCAGTTAATAAAATTAAGACCTTAAGTGTCTGCTTTGAAGTATGAAACCCAGCAAGCTGCTGGAACATATTAAACTAACGAACTTGTTCTTAGAGATGCAAGCCCTGCAGTTCCTTATGACATATTGGTACTCCAACTGAAATTAATAAACTGTAAACTGTTCAGGGCATGGCCTTCCTTTGTCTCTTATTACCACTGTAGTGCCATATCTAGTGTTTTGCATGCAGCATTTAACTGTTACAATTAAAAGCTGGTAGATTTTTGAGCGAGAAGCACAAGAATTCCATGGTTGGTTTGGGCTTTTTCTTTCCTTGTTTCCTTGTAAAACCACATATAAGCATCATATAAACAGATTTCTTAGTATCTATTTCTCCTTACTTCAGGCTGTTGAAAATCTCTGCTCCTACAAGATCTCTGCAAACTTGTACAAACAATTGAGACAGATCTGTGAAGACCACATTAAAGCACAAATTCACCAATTCAGAGAATATCCTTTTTTTTAAGCTGTTGACAAGCCAAAGTGTTTTAACCTGCCAGTATGTGGTGATGGATTTCTTTATGTCTGTAAGCACTGTGAGAAAGTCTGTGAGAAAGTTTCATTGGTATTTGTGGTACACTTGATTTCTCACAAAAGCTCATATTAAACTTAGAGCAAGGCTTAAGAAGGCTGTATTGGCTTTATCACCTCATGCCTTTATATATGCTGAACTTGCCATGCTCAGGTAAACACGAAAGTCTTCCAACAAGTAGTTCTTGTTTCCTTTTTGACAAGTGCTAGTGGTCTGGCAGCGTACAATCTTAGTCTGAGAATCAAAATGTTTTCAAAAGTTTGAGTTGCATCAGATTGAGGTCCCATTAAGTGGATATTAATAGTACCAAAACTATTCAGTGAGCTGAGTAAAAGTTAAATTTCAAGGACAAAATTTATCTTTTAAGGTTATCTCTTAACATGACCTGAAGTTACAGTAGCTGGGCAGTGGTGGGCTCTTACATCTGTTGTGAATTGTTGGTAATTGGGTGTGGGGATGTATAAGTTTGTTTCACTCTTCAGGAATGGAGGATTAGACAAAGCATTAAAAGCATAAAAAAGCATATAAAAGCATAAAGAAAAGCATTAAAAAAGTATTTTGATCCCTTCTTTATTAAAACATTTGAATCATTTTGATTTCTCACTATTAACACAAGGACTCTCATTAAAAATAAATATGTTGCATGATGTTAACTGGTTCTTTTTGGGAGTAGGTGAGGTGGTTGTGCTCTGTTAAGTGTCTTTAAAAAAATAATAATGTTAATTCATGTCATTTCTAACACTACCTGTTGATCATAATTTCCTTAATTATTTCTTCATGGATTCATTGGACAGTGTCCTTTTTCTAAAGAAAATAGACAAATGTTGGCAAGATCACTGCAGACAAATGGTAAGTCTGTTGTCTTTTTAAAGAAAACCAGTTTTCTAGTCAGCCTATGTTTTGCTTAACTTCTTTCCTTTACAAATGTATTGTGCTTCTGAAATGTTGTCTTGAATTTACATAAGGCTTCTTGGTGAAATACAGCTGTATCTAGTTTGTTAGAAATCAAGCCTTGAAAATACTTGTCTGTAATGTGTTTCCTGACACATTGGTCTGATCTTTGACCCACACACCCCCAGCTCCTAACTGTTGTTTCTCTACAAACCTGTCTCCTTTTATGCCTATCATAAAAGGAGCTATTCTTTGATAGAGAAAGCTGCTAAATGTCACACAGATCATCTCACTGAGATTGGCAGAATATCTTAAATCAACAGTGTCTAAGAAAGCACTGCCTGAAATCTGTCAGTGGCATATTTTTGTTGTTGTTGAGCATAATCTACATTGCTCTTCAATTTCAAGAGTAAAATGATTGTGGGGTTTTATTCCTTCTCATAACAGATTATGATTAGAAGTATCTTTTTGTTCTTGGACCGAACTTACGTACTTCAGAATTCAATGCTGCCATCTATTTGGTAAGAGCACAAAGAATAAAATTATTGGGGGGATATTTAAATTATCACATATATCCTGCTGATTTTCTTATAGAGACCTGTACATTAGATGGTGAATGCATACGTGCCTCCTTCAAAGAGAGATTTCACTTTCTTTGCCATGAATTACAGGATTCTTCTTGAATAGCTGTGATAGCAAATTTCAGCTAGCTAGACAGCAACCTCCCTTTTGCACAGTTAAAGGAAAGGGCCTGTTTAACAACTGAGGTGCAAGGGTATGGGTTGACCAGTTACTGGCTTTAACATGCATAGTATTTAAAGTTCTGTAAGTACTTTGAAAAGGAAGGAGTTACCTAAAATAAAAATAAGTTACTCTCCTTTGGACTCGACCTCCATGCTGCTCCTCTCAGTATTTTAATAATTAGCAAATACCCTACAGTGCCTTTGGTGTACTACCTGAGTTACCTTGCCAGAGATTGAAGGAGTGGAGATGGAGGATGGAGGTTCTGGCTTTTTCTACAAGTGTCCCAACTCACAAATTCATGGAAGGTTTTAACTGGGATGCCCAAAGCAGAGATCCCTGACTTTCACATCACTGAGTTCTTCTAAGCTTTGCCTAAGAATTAGAGATTAGTAATTTATTTAACAGTTTAACCATGGAGTTGGGACCTAGGGTGACACTATCCTTGTGAAAGCTGCTGTTCAGTCAGTTTCCATCATCCTGCCAACCAACTCGGAAATAAAGATGCTGAAAAGTTAGGTGGTTGTTTAGGAAAAAATATGTCTTTAAAATCTGTATCTTACTGGCAATGCTTATTTTAATGTTTATGTGTGTGTTTGTCTTGAGTCGGGGGAAGAGGAATTAGGACTTCGAAGAATGCTAGCATTTATTGGCTTCTCTATTTGATCTAGATCAGATTTTTGTATATATTTGGGTTGGTTCTTATGCAATTTATTGAAGAGTATTTTCTTTCTAGGGATATGGGTCTAGAGTTGTTCAGAACTCATATAATCAGTGATCAGAAAGTTCAGAACAAAACTATTGATGGCATTCTTCTGCTGATTGAGCGGGAAAGAAATGGTGAGGCTATTGATAGGAGTTTACTGCGGAGCCTTCTAAGCATGCTTTCTGACTTACAGGTGAGTAAATCTGTGTCACTTTTAAACTGGTAAACAGCTCGGATTCTTATTTAATGCTCAGTAAGTTTTACCGTGCATTGCTGTCGTGTTGTTTCCCTAGATTTATCAAGACTCTTTCGAACATAGATTCTTGGAAGAGACTAACCGTCTGTATGCAGCAGAGGGACAGAGGCTTATGCAGGAACGAGAGGTATTTTGAATGTTTAACAATATTTGTTATGTCTAATGACCAAGTATTTGTCAGGAAAAGGAACTATTGTACTGCCTTAGCCAGCGTACTGGGCAATAATGTGACTTTTACGTTTTATAGTACTCTGAAAAAGGAAATTCACGTGCAGGCTTCAGTCACAGTGCCAGTGATTTCTGCTTAGAACTGTTGCTGTCAGATCAGTATTGTCTTCCCACGCACACCTTGATTTCTCTTTTTTAAACATACAAAACTACTCTGGCACTTTCAGGTTCCCGAATATCTTCACCATGTCAACAAGCGCTTGGAAGAAGAAGCAGACAGGATAATCACTTATTTAGATCAGAGCACACAGTAAGTGCAATTTCTCTTTGCTTGGTACTATTAGCTGTTTGGCTCTTCTGTTATCTTTTGGCCATCTAATAGCTACAGTTTATTTCAGTTATTCACTGACCATCGAATGCTTCTCACTTCCCACAATTCCTTGTTTACAATGAAGCACTGTATTGGCTCACACAGCTAATATCCTTTCCTTCTATTTTGACATAAATTCTGTTGGTTATTTGGTTGGAGAAAAACAGGCTGCCACCCCCAGTCCAAAGGTCTCTTTCTTGATGAAATGCAGTTAACTGAGCACCATCCTATCTGAAAAAGATAGGACCCAGGATAGAGAATTCTAAAGCTAAAGACCCTGAATATTTACATTAAAATATTTGCGTATTCTTTATGGAGTTTGGGAAATTATTAAGTAATGTCAGTCTTTAATCTTTCCTACTTAGAGACAGAATTTCCTGGAACACAATCATGCAGAGGTCATGACTAGCAGGACAGGAGAAATGTTCTCTAACATAAAGCCGTAGCTGTTGTGTCTGAAAGAAAATGCAGGCCACTAGTAGAACAAAACTTTGAGCAAATGGTAGCAACTTCTTAAAGAGCAGGTGCAGAGGATCTCTCCGAGAGGATCCTCTCATACGGTTTTGTTTCCTTCCTCCTTCAGCTGTTAAAAATATTTAGCTTGTTTAGTGGCTTCTTTCTTCCACACCATTATTCATGGCCAATTCCCTATTTTGTTTTAATACTTCTTGACTTATGAGGTGTTGGGTTTTTTTCTCCTTGGTTTGTCTCCCAAGACATGGGTCTCCTCCCACAGAACAGGAGATGGTAAATTCTTTGACAGGCTTTTGCCCAGTTTCTTCACTGATGGAATCATTGTGCAGCTCCCTGGAGGCCATATACAACAGGCTTATTGTGTGAACTAAACAGCCAGTCAGCAAACAGGAAAAAAAAAAAAAATTGCTTACTGGGCATAAAAAAGGATAAATATGTGTATAATCATTTTAGGTCCTTGGCCAAAGATAATTAGAGCACTCCCAATGACAAGTGTAATCTCAAAAAAAAAAAAGATTTAAAACTGCCAGTAATGGAAAAAGGAAAAGTAATTCTAAACATTTTTTTCTATAGGAAGCCACTAATTGCTACTGTAGAAAAGCAACTTCTAGGTGAACATTTAACAGCCATTCTTCAGAAAGGTAATCTTTCTTCTTTATAGAAATGTTTATAATTACTGCTTTGGGGCTTTCAATTCCTGTGCTGAAAAATGAAGTGGCAGATTCAGGTGCCATGGGGAGGACACAAGCTACATCATTCTTTAATGCCCTTTGCTACTCAGTTCATGAGATAGCATTGACCATTTTGCAAGAGGGCAAATACAACTGTCCTTGTCAGAAGAAAGGAGAGACAGTGCTGTCTTCAGATATGCAGCAAAGCAAAAGGAAAACTGTAATAGGGGACTCTAGTTCAGTGCATGAAGTAGCATCTTGAAGACTCAGAGATAAAGGAGTAGCCTTCAGATGATGGGGAAACGTTTGATTACTTGCTGCTTACAAAAAGCAGCTTTTTCTAAAAATTTAATACAATTTGAGCCATGAAATATGTTGCCTCTGTTCTGCCTCAGTGTTCTCCACTCTGTGTGGAGTCAGGTGACCCTCTGTTGCACTGGGGGATAGTCTGGAAATAGATACGGGTGAAGCAGGAGTTGAATAATAAAAGGAAATTATCAAGTCCTTACTAGCCAGATTATGGATGAAACAGGTACGTGAGCACCTTCTGCACGTCTGTAACAGACTGTTGAGAGGAGTGTCAAGTGTGCTATATTCACCGGTCTGCTTTCGTAGAACCTTGCTGTGGAGCATCAGGCCTTCTCTGCCAAAACATTAGAAAGTGAAAGGTGAAGCTATTTCTTGAAGCTGCTTGCCTTCAAATATCTGTAAAATCTATTTTACAGCTGGAATTGAGACTCAGAGCTCTGTCTTTCCAAGGAACCTTTCCTACAGATCAGTAATGTAAAAGTTTCATATCTTTAGGGAATAGTAAAGCAGAAGTAAGCAAAGGTACTGTGGTATGTAAAGTACATGTAGCCTAAAATATACAGTGCAATAACAAGGTTTTAAAGCCAGTTCAAGTAACCATTCTGGGCTTCACTGTTAAATTAGGTAGCTTAAAAAAAAAAAAGTCACTAATTGCTTGATTAAAAGAAACTAGCTTTGAAGAGGCCCCTTTCTGTAATAATATGCTGCACTTTCTTTGGATTACTCTGGTTTTCATTTTTACTGAAATTCTCTCATTTGCAGGTTTAAACCACCTTCTTGATGAAAACCGAATTCAAGACTTGTCTCTTCTGTATCAGTTGTTCAGCCGTGTGAGAGGCGGAGTACAGGTTCTCTTGCAACACTGGATTGAGTACATAAAGGTACTGTTCCTAGAACTCTGGAACAGACATCTGCCACTACTGTCTCGATGGGGTTTTACACAGATACTTGAGTCATCTCGATAAACTATTGCATTTTACTAAGAATCAAAGCCTACTTGCTTATAAGCATATATATAATAGGCAGCTTTTGAAACGGTAGTAGGAAAAGTGCAGTAACTGTTTTAGCCCTGTTGAAGAAACAACATTCAGTTGAACTACTGAACTCCAAATAAATTTGGAGGGTTTATGTGGCTTATAGTTAGTTTTGGCAGACAAGTGTATTTCTCCAATATGCATTCTGGTAATTACAGAATGTTTCTGTCTTCTCCCTGGTAAAATTTCTTGGTAGAATGAGTGGTAGCTTAAGTTACAAACCATTTTAAGTTCAAAAAGCACTTGAATACCACTTCAGATATTTCATCTTATTACTCAGTGGAAACCTTGTCACAGAAAGTATGGTGGTTGTGAAGGAAGGCTTTCTAATGGCATAGCAGTACTCTTAAATAAAACTGAGTTTAGTGGGAGCTTTACCTGTGTGAAACCTGAGGATAGAGATGTTCAAAAAGATGTTACTTTTGTCATACTTAAGTTTTATTTCTTCAGGCTGTTCTGAATCTGTTCACTTACTCAGATCAGTTTTGAATCAACGTACAAGTTCTAGGAATGATTATATAGTAAATAATAGTGAATTACTTCTGTTGTGCTAGTGGAACTAATATGAATACCAGAAACAAGACATTACAAAGATAACTTCAGCTTTTAGAAGTCTTGTAATTTAAATTCATTGTTCAGGCTAATTCAAAGATATGTTTTATTTTGCAGGCATTTGGTAGCACCATAGTAATTAATCCAGAAAAAGATAAAACCATGGTCCAAGAACTGCTTGATTTTAAAGACAAAGTTGACCATATTATTGATGTTTGCTTTCTCAAGAATGAGAAGTTTGTAAATGCCATGAAAGAAGCCTTTGAAACATTCATTAACAAAAGACCAAATAAGCCAGCTGAACTCATAGGTATTTTTCTTCAATTTCTTTCCATGTGAGAATTTGGGTGGGGGACAAGAGGGAGTTGCTGATGCAGCTTACAGATGGGATTTGATGGAGTTATGTATTAAAGACATTATGCACAGTGCATTGTCAAACTGGGGAACTACTGTGCCTCGTTATGCAAGTGAACCATTTGATAGGATGGCATTAAACATTAAGCACAAGCTCCGCTCAGCAGTACACTGGCCAGGCTATAGAAAAGTGAAGAACGTTAGAACCCGGGCATTGCAGCAGTTGACTGGTGTCCAGATGTAAGCATACTGCTTGTAATTTGACTTTTTCAGAAGCTTACATAACTGTGCTAACAGCACATGTGCACAGAGCTGTGAGGGGCTCTACGAAGATACATTTTAATATGTAAACATGAAGAGGGGTGAGGATGCCCTTTACCTCATGTTACAGGGACATAGCCCTTGTTTGCAGAGAACATTGTTTACAGATGTGTGCATTACAGGCCTGGCTGTCTGCACTGTGAATACCTTAATGGTTTCCCCACACAGTGAATAATACCTGCCTTGCAATCTGTTGTGCTATTAGGCTTGTGGGGTAATGCTTTCTGCCCTCCTTTTTTAGAATTAATTCACTAACTATAATGTGCTTACCAAACCATCTGAAATTAAACCAAACAGTAATCTGCTAGAGAAATTCCACATTTAAGTAACTGGTTTACGTATTTTTCTTCTGATCTTTTTGCTTCTATTATAGCCATAGCAATCTATAGCAATGGTGACTTTTTACTTTGAGATCATAATATGGACCAGGACATTTTTTATATGCACAGAAATCTTTTTAACATGATGTATGCTGATAAAGTTAATGATAGAGTAATTGCTAATCTGAAAAAAGAGATTAAGCTGCAATGTCTTCATAACTTTATAGCCTCTGTGAAAATATATCAAGCTAGCTGTGATGAAACTGATTTGAAGGTGATTTCAGGATCATTTACATTTCCAAAAGACTTCACAATATTAGATGCAAAAACAAAAAATTAAGTTACTGTTTCATTGTGATACTCAGCATTTGTTAAACTTTCTATTCCTCAATACTTTTAGCTAAATATGTAGATTCAAAGCTTCGTGCAGGCAACAAAGAAGCTACTGATGAAGAACTTGAAAAAATGCTGGATAAAATTATGATCATATTTAGATTCATATATGGTAAGTTGTGGGTTTTTTTGTGGGGATACAGTTGTTTAACCAGTACCATAAAGGTATTTTTGAAATATTTTTTGCAGTCTGTCTGCATTTTCAAGTGGTCAGTCTCTGTAGATGCAGTTTGCTGGTATAGGGCTGTTTAAAGCTCCTGTTAGCTTTACTGAGCTTTGAATCGGGCCTAAGTAAGGTTTGTTTAAAACAATGATTCGTCATCACTGTCACTTGTGTCACTTTTCTCTTACAGGAAAAGATGTCTTTGAGGCCTTTTATAAAAAAGATCTAGCAAAGAGACTATTAGTTGGGAAGAGTGCATCAGTAGATGCTGAAAAATCTATGCTTTCCAAACTCAAACATGGTAAATATCTGTCTGTCTGTCAGCTTTCCGTCTTTTAAAAACAGGCCTTCCCAGAAATGCTGTCGGTAATTCCCCTTTACATGAGGGCAAAAAGCTTGTGCACAAATTTTGAATGACTAGGTGGATTTTGAGGACACTCATTTGCTTTTAGTTTTGTAATTACAGCAGCAATAGTCAAAAGTCAGGAGCTTAAAGTTGCGCGGTGGATCTTGGCCTGTGGGATAGAGCTGAGGTTCCCTGCTGAATAAGTCAGTGATGTGCTCAGAGAACTTGACTTCTCCTTGTTACTCATTCTGTGTAAGGACTTGAAACATGAAGTTGCCAGCTACCAGTCCTCTAGCCTGGTCTTCATTGTTTCATAGGATGGAGTCTTTGGGTGGTGAGAGTAAGATTTTTAGAACTTGATCTGGCTCTGAGAGAGTTTGGCAGGCAGCTGATAAGGATCAGAACTATCGTCTAAGTGACAGGTTGCAAGTGGAGCCCCAGGATGACCCATCATGTCCATGTGGAAAAAAACTGGGTTGCAAAATAGCTGCCACATTAAAACATTTTGCCTCTTCTTGTTTATAACCTTGTTCTGTATCTTAATTAAAATCCAGGACGTTAGGTAAGAACATATGCCAAAATAGGTAGTCTTGCTTCAGAGTACATTCTGATACTTAGAATAGCGACTCTGTGGTGTTGAAAATAAAGATTAATTTTTAAGATGTAAATTTTCTCTTTTGTAGAATGTGGAGCTGCTTTCACCAGCAAACTTGAAGGAATGTTTAAAGATATGGAGCTTTCAAAAGACATAATGATTCAGTTTAAACAGGTACTGTGGGAAAGCCTGCCATTGGCTCCTTCATTTACTTGGTTTTTGAATTAGTTATTCTCAGAAAGCCTAATGAGAACATACAGGGTGTCTTCAGTTGTGTACATTTCTATTGCAATTAAGTTAAAACTCCTTTTGAATTATTCCCCTTGTCTGTAACGTTCTTTCACTACAGAGAAAAGGACTTTGTAGGTGATTGCTTTTGAAAGCAGTGGACAAAAGCCCAACTGGGTAAACAGTCTCTAGTGAAAATCAGTCAGAATCTAATTCTTAATTCTGTGCTGCCTGTGCTTTTTAATATTCGACTGCATTTATTAATGGTTTTCCTGAACAATGAAGCAAAAAAACTGAAACCAGAAGTTTCTTAAATAAAGAAACCCACACACACCTCCAAACCACCAGCCATAATAAAAGAATTGTAAGCATACAAAATATTTTAACACCAGTTATAAAACATTTTATACAGCACTCTATCTGATGGACTGGCTAGTAAGTTTCTGCCCATTGGTTCATGTGGTTCTGTAATGTTTTGATTACAAGCAAATTTCAACATTTCCATCCATTCACACCTATCTAGGTTCATCTTCACATCAGCCTGTTAAAACACTTGTTTTGCTGTTTTCTTCCTGCATGGAAGTGCCTTTAGAACTTCAGAAAAGTGCTTTTTCTTAACCTATTTTTCTTGTATGTGACTTGCAATTTATATAGCAAAGACATCATGAGATTACTTCTCTTCTGTGCTCTAACTCCTCAGTTCTACCTGAAATATGTTTAATAAGCATTGCTTTATTTCAGTTTACTTTGTTTCTTTCTGCAGTATATGCAAAATCAGAATGTCCCTGGCAACATTGAACTGACAGTGAATATTCTGACTATGGGTTACTGGCCAACCTACGTGCCTATGGAGGTCCATTTGCCCCCTGAGGTAATGAATATAGATGTATTATACCACCTATCAGCCTATAAGTAATGCATCTTGGTGCCAGCTGTAACTGGGTTTGAAATATGCATGTGTTCTCTAGAAAGAAGTGCAGAAGTGTTGTCTTTAAATAGTTTGTTTTCTTGCAATTCTCTTTATCTTTCTGAGCCTTTACTTATGGCTTATTTGATTGCAGAGGGAAAGATGACTTTAAAGTAGAAATTGTGTTTTAGTGTTTTGGGTTTTTTCTTTCTTTAGATGGTAAAACTGCAGGAGATTTTCAAGACCTTTTATTTAGGAAAGCACAGTGGTAGGAAACTTCAGTGGCAGTCAACATTAGGACACTGTGTACTAAAAGCAGAATTTAAAGAGGTGAGTGTATTTTTTTCTCTTATTCCTGTTACTTTCCTGATCCGAGTCTGGATTGTAACGCAGGGATATATTGGGAAGCTTTTTTGTGTTATGATGGAAAACTTAGCACTGTTTTTGCAATTATTTTTAACTTTTTGACCGCTTGCTATCATTTCCAGAGTTGGTAGTTTCTAAAATGGATGTATTAAGATCTAAGAAGACTGATCTCATTTCTTGTCAATGAGGGGAAGGCTGTTGGTTACTGCTTGGGGAAAATAGCCAGTGGGTGTAGTTCCATATTAAAAATGGCACTAATTTTTATACTGGGGAGGAAAAAAAGAGGAGGCTGTGTTCCACAGATGACTTTAATTCAACTGACAGCATTAAGTATCTTTAAGTAAGCTTTTCACTACTGAAATAAGGAAAAGTTTTGGATTGTACCAGAACACAACTGTTTGCAAGGGGCTGCCAGTTACCCCCCTTCAGCGTTTCTTTATGGGCACAAATATCTTTCAAGAAAATTAATCTCGGAGTAGGAACGCTTACCAGTTCTATGTTGTGTTAAAATGTTAATGGTAAAAAAAAAAATCATCAAATTTAGTTATTTCAAAGATCCTATAGCTGTGTTTCTTAAACTAATGTTTGTGTTGCACTTTGATTTAAAGATCTTCCAAATTGTAATTTTAAGCACTTACTGCTTTGTGATTTGTCTTGAGTAAGTTGGTTCATATCTTGGGTGAGTTTTGTCACTGGATAGTCTAACCTTCTGACCTCTAGCTTATTCTATATTTTATAGTAATACAAGGTGACCAGTAGCTCTTTATTTTAGCCATTTGAGAATAAGAAAGACTAAATCGCATCCTTTAAGTGAACTGATTGATATGCAAGAGTGTCTGTGTCATTGTTATTACTGTGTTCCCTTCCCCTCCCATCCCCAAAGAAAAAAAAATTAAAACCAGCCTAGTGATGCCTGTTAATTTCCCTTGTGACAGGGCAAAAAAGAACTTCAGGTCTCCTTATTCCAGACACTGGTGCTGCTCATGTTTAATGAAGGAGAGGAGTTCAGTTTAGAGGAGATAAAGCAAGCTACTGGGATAGGTTGGTATTGAAAACAGCTGACTACTTCCAAGTGTTCTTTCTTAAAAAAAACCTAAACAACTTGTTTCTGCTTTAGAGGACGGAGAGCTGAGAAGGACACTTCAATCTCTGGCTTGTGGCAAAGCCAGAGTACTGACTAAAAGCCCCAAAGGCAAAGATGTGGAAGACGGTGATAAATTCACATGTAATGATGATTTCAGACATAAGCTCTTCAGGATAAAGATCAACCAAATTCAGATGAAAGAAACGGTATATTAATTTTAATCCTCTGGGGTTTAGATGCTTGGATTAAGTATCTTACTGCCTACCTGTTTACAAGCTGCTTTTTCCTCTCTGTTGTAATGTACATACTGATAGCTTTGTAAATTACATGTCATTTGGATGATAGCACATGTCAAACATTGCTGATTTAAATGTGTACTTCCATACTAACGTAGACACCAGTGATGCTAGATGTCTCTAATAAGGTTGTTTGAAAGAAGTTCCGATTCGTGAATGTTCTTTTCGCCTTTGATCATTCCCTGGAGCTTTACTGAATGATTTGTGAACATAGAAACAAGTTCACGGTGAATTTTTCCCTGTCAGCCATCCAATGTAAAGTCCGTGCAGATTTTAATCCCTTGTAAAAGTGCTTTTTTTAACAGACAGTCGGTCTTCATATTTTTTAAAGAATTTGTCAGATATTTGACATTTTACTTCTTACACTGAGCGTTATCTTAATCTATGAAGAATAGTTTTGACAGTTCTAGTGCTCCCTTTAAAACTTTTCTCAATGGATCCTTCAGGTAGAGGAACAGGCAAGCACTACAGAGAGAGTATTCCAAGACAGGCAATACCAGATCGACGCTGCAATTGTACGAATCATGAAGATGCGCAAGACGCTGAGTCATAACCTGCTGGTGTCGGAGGTCTACAACCAGCTTAAATTCCCAGTAAAGGTGCAGTACTGATTTTTCTTCTTCTAAAACCTTTTATTACTTTCTGTATTCCCTGGCTGCCCTCAGTTGAACAGCACTTCTGTCTAAAACATGCATCTTTGTGCTACTGGGGAAGACAAATACTCGCTTTCAGACTTCTTAAAGTGCAAATTGCATTCACTTACCCAAAAATTACCTCAGGCTTTTAGTAAATTAATAAAACCTATCACCAAAGGCTTTCAGAACTAGAGTATGTTAGCAATAACTGTGAAGCTAGTTCTCCTTGTTCTTGTATTGAAGTGTTCTGGCAAGGGGAAAATGATGCAGGTATGTAATGCAGAATTCATAGAATCATAGAATGTTTTTTGTTACAAGGGACCTTAAAGTTCATCTAGTTCCAATCCCTTCCCACGGACAAGGACACCTTCCACTAGACCAGGTTGCTCAAAGCCCCATCCAACCTGGCCTTGAACACTCGGCTTTGATACTTAATTTGATTGATACTCATTAATAAATTAGGAACTAATGTACAGTGCATTTTCCAGACATTTTATTGGTTAATATATATACACACACAGATAGATAGATAGATATATATATGGAATGAAAATTAGATACTGGTAAATGTCTCAAAGCTAATGAAGCCCACAGTTGCAAGATGAAATGAATAGCCTATTGTGTACAAATAGAAATGGATTTTCAAATACAGTGATGCATCTGTTTGAGTTCAAGTATACAGTGCTTCCTATCAATGGGAATGTAAGATAAAAGGTACTGCCATCTCATTCTGGTTTGTTCCTGCAGGCCTGTAGGTATTGCATAAACTGCAGTTGGGCTTTGCAGGGTTATAACAGATTTAAATGCATTTTCTGACTATCATGAGGCATTGTTATGAAGTCCTTCACCCATCAAAATCATAGGGCATCAAAACTGTTGTAAAACTCACATCAAGATAAAATGAAACTTGTACCATTTTTACCAGGTAAAAGTCAGAAACATTTTGGTACGTAGTGCATGAATTGCAGCTCTTTAGAGTTCAGTTGAAACAGCAGTAAATATCTTTCCCTGCTGTAAAAAGTCTATGCTTAGCTGCAAGTGACAAGCTAATTTGGTTACTTTCTCTTCAGTTATACATTGCAGACTTTAGAAGCTTTGATGCTTTAAGGGGATTTTTTTTTTTAAACTGTAATTTGTTTCCTCAGCCATCTTAAACAGTAAGGATATTGGGCTTAAGTAGAAAGAATAACTGAGAAACTTTGACTGCAAAGTAGTAACGATGACATCTGCTTTATTTTACAGCCTGCTGATCTTAAGAAGAGAATAGAATCCTTAATTGACAGGGACTACATGGAAAGAGATAAAGAAAACCCCAATCAGTACAACTATATTGCATAAACATATGTTGGCCTTTGTTTTACTGCACACCTGGTGTCATACACAGTTGCCAGTGGATAAACTAGCCTGTTGATCCTGTTAATTGACTTTTTATACTACCGATGATTGAATGAAAGCAGTGTAATGGAAAAGTATAGTAGAGTGGACTTCTTTCAGTGGTTAACATGCCCATTTAAAGAGTACTATTTACATTTTAAGAAGAATGCTGTTGAACTCTTTGCATGTTATTTAGTAAGATGTGCAGAAAGCTGAAAGAAAGTACCTGGTCTTTGTGATTCCATTTGTCTCTGGGTCTGAAGAGGAGTCCCTTGATATGACAGATGTCTTTCACACCTTTAAAAGGAAACAGGAGGTTGATTAATATAAGAAAATAGCCTTTAAAATGCTTAAACTGCATGCAAACTTTTAATTTACTGTACAGAATGCATTTCAGTTAGTAACATACCATTGGTTTGGTTGATGCCCACACTTGGATTTTTCCCTTGAGGGAGGGAAAATGGGGAATAAGCCAAGCTATGCTTATTGCTGATCTAATGGAAAATATTCTTGGTCGTAATTAGGACAAAATGGTACCAGTCTAAAACGTATAAAGTTTGCAGTGTGGGCATATATACTGTATATAAACAGACACCATTCTTAAAGAACTGCTACAACAAAACAAGTTCAGATTAGATTTATATGGCTTGCCTATAAGACTTAGTGTTCACCTTTGGGAATTTTAAGCATAAAACAGCCATAATGGAAAAAGTGACAGTTTTTACTAGTCATGGGTAGGAGGCCTTCACCTCTTGGCAGCAATACTCTAGAAAAGCAAATCTATTTACAGATATCTATGAAAAGCCACGCTGTTCTTGTGGTAAAGCTGTAAGAACAAAAATTGCAAATGGATTTTAATACTTGTTTTGCTTTGCAACATTCTAAACTTGAACTAACCTCAAGGTTTAGACAGGGCAGCTCTTCTGAAGTCTGCCCTGCTTTGGATTGCTTTAACTTAAAGCTTTAAGAACTCAGCCCTAGATGTGGCAGGCCTCCTAGAACCCAGAAGCCTACCTCTCATATATAAAGTTAAGTATTGCTATAAGGCATCTAAAATTTATTTTCTTAGATGACCAGAGAGCATTCTTTGCATCTTTATAAGACATGGGAGAATAAGTCACTTGAATGTAGAGCTTTGTTTCAACGAGATGCATTTTTTTTACTGCTATAGCAGCATGTGCCAGGAATATATAGGGGGGGAGCATCAGCAGAAAAGGTAACTCCTCCATGTAACAGTTCTTCCTTACCCAGCAGGCTTTAGACCTACCATCAGCTGTGTTGCAGAGCACAATGAAAAACCTCATCCTCTTTCAGGCACTGATAGTCCTGGGGAATACCAGATATTTCTTGGAAGCAAGATGTTACTTTTGTTAGTGGCAGTGTAACTTAGCTCTCTATGATCTATAACTTCTATCACTGTGATTCCACATTCAGGGGTGTGCATGTGCGAGAGAGGGCGAGTGTGTGTATGTATGTGTATTTTGTATCCGACACATCCCATCCTTACTGCTTTTTTGATTTACTCTTTAATTCCGTATTTTCCCCAGCTGCATTTTCTCTCAAGCTCCTTTATATGCAGCCCTCAGCTGACAGATGAAGCAGATGGGTTTTTTTTCTCGTACTAAATTATTTGCTGTCACCTTCTACTAACTGTCATACAGCTCTTTGTGATCTGCAGATAATCTACCTTATCCTTTGACACTATTGCAGCTTAACCACTGGTAAACATCCAGGACCACCCTTGCCTCTGCAAGAAAAATACTAACAGTAGAGTTATCTGGTAAGAAACTTGAAGACTGCTCCTGCAAATCTTTAAGTATTAGTTCAAATAGAGATTCACTGGGGAGGAAAGAACAGCTCCCCAAAAAACATTCTGTATTTTGCATTCAATGTTCCTTTTTGTTGTATGTGTTTTGTATCTTTAGCCAATAAAAGATTCCTTTTAAAAAGGCATTTTTGAGAAGGAGCATAAAACTTAACTCTTTGGGAGACAGGAGATGATGAGTATCAGTATTGAAGTGGTTCCATTCAGTCTGTTGTAGCATATAAATCTAACACCACTACATGTTTAAAATACCTATTTTGATAAACTCCTCCCTCATTAGACAAGTGTGTTGCATTCAGTCAACCTAACCAGAAAGGTCTGAAGGTTTATTTATTCTTTTATCCCATCCATTTCAGTAAGTTAAATGCAGAAAATTTATACAGAAAATGTGCTCAAATATCATCAGAGTTCCACGATCTGAGGCAGACCCTAAGCAGCAATCTAGTTAAAGCAACCCAAAGAATGGACTTTGAGAACCCTGGCTAGGCCAAGAGAGGGGGTGAGCGAGGGGAGGGGAGAAGAGGCGGCTTCTCCTTGTATCTGCGTGGGGTTTCCCCAAGAACTTGTTCATCTTCTCTGCTAAGGAATTGCTCATTCCTGGTTAATGACAAAGCTGCAGCCAAGATTTACTGTCCAGCCGTACAACTCTGCAACTTCTTGCTGGGATCATGTGCCTGCCTATTGAGCCATATATATCTCTGTAAGAAAAATGAAAGCGGGCTTGGACCACAGCTCATCTGGCTAGAACACAGCTTGTCTGTTTGGCCACACATTTTTAATCTTGACTCTTGCATGCAGTTTATAGCACCTTGTTCATAAGAAATTGCAGTTTATTCTTAGAAATATATATTTTAGGTTTTTTAATCTTTATACCCATAAATGGACTATTTTTTTGTCTTGGCTGGTTTAAAAAGTGACCATTTTGTTTAAATGCTGTAATTGCAAATGTGTTGTAAGTGTTGTTTTGTTCTATAGTTTACACAAAGGTGCCAAAGTAAATAGTTAATAAAAACCCCCCAAACCCAAGCAAACTGTTGCGTTGCTTTAGCTGTTCTTCATATTTTGGTCTCTGCTCTTTTATGGGTTTTGGTTTTGTTGGGTTTTTTTTTTTCAGCCTTTCAGTTTTTCCCAGACATATCATTTGCCCCAAAGCTTTCTTCTTAAAAAAAAAAAAAAAAAAAAAAAAAAAAAAAAAAAAAAAAAGGGGCATTAAAAAAAATTTTAAAAAACCCTTTTTTTTTTTTTTTTTTTTTAGTGATTTCATATAGTAGGAAGAATATTTTCTTTGAAATGTTACACTAAAATTGTAAGAGTACAGCAGCATTCAAAAATGTAATATACTTTTTGTATAACAGTTCTTCAGAGTGTGTCTGGAGTGGGGGAAAAAACTAACCCTGTTACTTTTCAGAAGCCTCTTCCCTCGGCTACCAGAATACGAAATTGTGCTTTTTCACTGCATCAAAAAGTTATAGTTTATGCAGACTTGCAAACAGGGCATGTATCACCATTGCATCCTTCGATGCAAAGAGCAGCAAAACCTTTTTTATGTTTCATAAGTCTGATATGGGTACAGAGAGTCTTTCTTAAGTTGGTAAATAATGTAAATACATGTCCTTTCAGAGAGTGAGTCTGTTATCTAGGTATTTTGTGTCATTTAATAAATATTAAACAGTTTTGTGTTGATAAACTCCTGTGTGTAAAATGCGTTCTTACTCAAAGTGCTGTATGTTGGGCTTACTAATGTTTGTGGCTTCCTTAAATTCTTTAGTTTGTGCTTTGATGGCAAAATACTTGTTTGCTACTTAAGTATAATAATAAGTAGTTCCTTCTTCATTCAGTCATTAAAATCCCTTGAGTTTTCTAAGTGGCTTCCATTCCTGAATTTATTTTTTTTACCCAGTCTTTTTTTACCAGGTTACTGGAGGGGAAGGAAGGAAGCATCCCACAAACTGAATCGGGATTAGAATGTGAAAGTGCCGGAAATGGTGCAACAATGCCAAAGGTGGTGGCTCATCGCTAGTACAGAAGGCTTCTCTCCTTGTTTCCCAGTAAGGCTAGTAATTTTTTTTAATGGCTGTGGTACAATTGCTGAAGTACAGGACAGGGCTGGACAAGGAACTTGCTTCTGTTACTGGTGATGGCCAGCTGGGCCACTCTTAATTTTAATTCAGCCATTTGGAACCACTGGACTAAATCTGACCAGAATTTCAGGAGTATCTTCAGCCCGGCCCTTCCTGGTGCAGATGCTCTGAGGACTTAGTGGAGAGGTGAGGCAGGGTGTTCTGATTTTGCTTTCCGAGCTCTGGAGGGGTGGTTTGAGAATGGGAGAGCTGTAGCAAAGCGAGAGCTGATGCTCCAAACTGAGCTCTGCTGAAGTATGCTGCAGGGAGGCTGACCTTGCACAGCACTGCCATAGTCCTCGTGTATGGTGGGTTTAAATACGAATGCTGGATGTCTTCCAGTAATGCTGCTCAGGTGCATGCATTCTCTGTCACAGCTTGAAGGCATCTAAACACAGGGGATGGTTTTTCCACTAACAATTTCTTAAAGAGAATATTTCCTGTGTTCTTCACAACCAACCCTACAGAATTTTGTTGCTAGAAATTAATCCTACAGAAGCAGGTTCCCAGAAAGCAGGAAATACTTTTAATTCCTGTTACTGTATGAAGTGCAATATACATCGCTGTACTTTCTCCTGCTGTTGAGAGAAACTGTTGCCAAATCAAAATCAAGGCAGTAGCTTTGGATTCGCCTTGTTTAGGGTTTTTTTTTTCCTTTGAAGAGGAAAGGGCTTGTGGGCATATTGTGCTATTTAGAAAACAAGCACCTCAAAACTTACTTGAGGGGATGAGACATCGGACTTTGTGCATGGTATCTTGGAAAATACGGAGTTAATTGGGAGGAGGAGCAGTGGATGTTGATCAGCCTACAATGGAGCAAGTTTTAATTCTGGTTAAGCAACTGCTTCCTGATACAAGGTCATCTTTAAAATTACTCTTAGAATTTGTCTTGTTGCTGCTTATGGGAAATAAGCATTAAGATAACAATTTGAGAAGAAAAGTAACTTTGAAAGTTAATGTCCTAAAACCAGTAAGACATTGCAGCACCACAGATAAAACCTTTTTCTTTAACTTAGGAAAAGAAGTTCACATCCAGTAAATACTATATTTTTATTGTTACGCATTTACACACAGCTGGCACTGTAACAAGGTCTGACTGCAGGATCCTGCTGGGAATGCCAACTCAGAGCGAAGGTTTCCAATTGTCTTCTAATAGTTCTTCAGGTACAGCTGGAGCTGGGTGCCTCCAGAGAGGGGTCCCTACCCCAACTCGTGCCTCCCAGTTACACCCGTCCCACAAATCACCCCATCCCCAAGTCCAGTGTCAGTGATTTCTCACTGGGTTTCACTGTTGCTGGGCTGGCTGCCTTCTGAAGTTACTTCACTAT